CTGAGCCTGACCAGGGGCTGCACCTAGGGATTGGGCCTGCCCTCTGCCACCCGGGAGCAGGCCTAAGCCAGCAGGTCTTTATCTCCCAGGGGGTCCCAGATTGCAAAAGGGCACAGGCCGGGCTGAGGGATCCCCATTCCCCCCGAGTGCACAAATTTTTGTGCACCGGGCCTCTAGTTGTTTTCATATTATTTGATATCTGAGGACACACTCCCATTTTTCTTCATTCTCACACAATTTCTTCACTCTGACACCAGATTTGTAGATGTTCCTGACACTAGCTGAGTGTCCTGCAATTCAGTTCAGTTCTGACACTATCTGCCTGGGGTTAGCGTCAGGTCCTACAAGACTACCCCCAGCTTTAGATGCCTATCGCCAAGTCAGATTGTCACTTCTGACTGACCAGCCAGAAGGGTTCTTACAACCCCCTCCGTGGGGGTGATCATTTGTTAGATGCTCACAGAACTTAGGAAACACTTAAGTTTACTGGTTTATTACAAAGGATATAGTAAAGGAGACAGATGGACAACCAGGTAAAGAAATGCAAACAGCTGGACACAGGGAACTTCCGTGGCCTCTCCAGACATACCACCCTCCCAGCTTTTCCAAGTGCTCAGCAATCCAGAAGCTCTTCAAACCTGTACTTTTGGGATTTTTATGAAGACTTCATCGTGATGATGGATGATCATTAACTCAATCTCCAGCCCCTCTGTCCTTCCCAGAGGTTGGAGAATGGGGCCAAAGGTCTAAGTTTCTAATCATGGCTTAGTCTTTCAATCCATAAGCCACCAAGAGTAGCCTCATTAGAACATAAGACATTCACCCTAGCTGGTTTGGCTCAGTGGATAGAGCGTCAGCCTGCATACTGAAGGGTCCCGGGTTCAATTTTGGTCAAGGGCACGTACCCCAGTTGCAGGCTCCTCCCTGGCCCAAGTCCTGCTTGGGGCTTGTGCAGGAGGCAACCAATCGATGTGTTTCTCTCACATTGATATTCCTGTCTTTCCCTCTCTCTTCCACTCTCTAAAAATCAATGGAAGAATATCCTCGGGTGAGGATTTAAAAAAGAAAAAGAACATAAAGCACTCTTATCACCAAGGGATTTAGGAGCTGCGCCAGGAACCAGAGGCAGAGACCAACACATAGGTTTTCCACTATTTCACACTTGGTATCTACATGTTTATATGATTGACTTGCATGCAGGCTACAATGTAGTATGTATCTCATACATAGTCATATCACCAGCACTTAGATCAGAATATGGTAAGATTAGTTCCCAATGCTAGATAAATAAAAATGCCTTCCTGAACAGCTATAAAACATAACTTTTAAGAATCTAATATTAAAAATGTTCTTTCTGGTAGAAAAATAGAGGTTACCAGAGCCTAGGGAGAGGGCGGGGGGTAGGGGGCAAGGGGAGAATTGTCATTTAATGGATACAGGGGTTTTGTTGGCGATGATAGAAAATTTTTAGGTATAGACAGTAGTGATTATTTCCCAACATTGTGAATGTATTTAATGCCACTGAATTGTACACTTATGGATAGTTAAAGTATAAATATATTGATTGTTATTTTTACCACAATACACCCTACACACACATACCCGCAAAATCTCTTTCTGGGTTATTTCCAAAGCTTGATTATTTTCCACAAGGAATAGATTTTCTACCTGACCCTGTACTTTGTGTTTAGCACAGAAGGGAGAAAAAATATTTGACCTCTTCGAGCACATTTTTATGGTTATTTTATTCTATCTTGAGGTCGTAATCAATTAGTCTTCAATTCTCAAACTCAAACTTCACAACTACAAACTATAAAACAAGTCAACACCAGGACAAACAAACAAACTACCCACCCAATAAGTAAATCAGGAACCTGGAGGAGTGAAGCTGTGGTGAGAACTGTAAGTATCTCCTTCCTCCCACTGGATTCTAAGAACTTCCTTCCCACCATTGTTTGTTAGAAAGGGCCTATTTCAGCTATTTGGGCCTGAAAGCTGATAATGTGACTTCCAGCAACATAGTCATTATTTAAAAATCTCACCGAAACATGACTGAATACTCAATGGGTTAAATTAAATGAAGTACACATGGGCAGTGTGTATTTTGTGCACACTTTGCCAAAGATAAACACAGCTGGACGCTAGTTAAAGTGCTAGGGACAGATTTTAATCAGTAATATATCATTGTAATAGGGAACAGTCCAGTGTAAACTGAGCTCGACTTCGATTTATACAGAGGTGACTGGGCATTTTAAGGAGAATGAAGGAATAGGTGGGGTGAGTAAGGGCTCAGTAGAGTCAGGGAAATGAAAAACATGGGGAGGGTATGGGCCCCTGTGAAAACCACCTGCGTTTGCTCACTGGCACTTATGGAAGGTAACAAACTTCCTACCATGTCACACCTCCACCCTCATGACCTAATCACCCCACACCGGCCCCACTCCCAATACCATCAGGCTGGGGATTAGATTCCACCATGTACATTGTAGGGGACACACGCAGCCCATAGTAGTTATCACACAATTCAAGGCTTTCCTTTCCATCTATTTCTCTATCTACAAGATGAAATAAGTGTGAATCTTATTATAATGTGTTGAAAGTCATCATTCTTACTACAGACGGTGATGTCTTATACTTGCCTAATACAGACCACATCTCTCCTCTGCTCGAAATCCTGTCCTGGACCTCTGCCTCATTTGGAGTAAAAGCCAAGTCTTTATAATTAGCCATAAACCTACGTGATCTCCTTTTACTCCCCATTCTTCCCCTGGCCACTTCTCCGTTCGCACCTCAGGGGCTCCTGCTTTCTGTTCTCTGGCTGGAATGTTCTTGCTCTGCTCCACATGGTTGCTCATAGGCCGTAGGTCGTATTATTAGAGAAGCCTTCCGTGAACATCCTATATAACACACTCTAGCCCAGTGGTTCTCAAAGTCTGTTCCTGGACCACAGCATCACCATCACATGGGAACTTGTTAACGCTTCCTTTCAGGGAATACACTGATGATTTACGAAAACAAAACATAAAACCCACCTCTCCCCATGAGGCTAATAATCTTTCCAGCCTGGTGTTTACTTAGACTTTGTCAGAAACCATAGTAACAATCTCAAAAGAACTGAGGAAAAAACACTGAAACTTAGGGTTCACCTGGTCCGACCTCCTCATTCTACAGATGAGGAGAAATGAATGCAGAAAAACGGTGGGACCTGCCCCCAGCCAGACCGTGGCCCTGAGCCTAAGTCCTCAGAAGTTGTTTTCCCCCCACACACACTCTCTCGCTGCGGTGCTCCTGATAACCTGCAATTTACCCACACTCTCCTCAGATCTGTTCAGAGTTTCACATCTTCACCATGCTGCATTATCAGGACCTTCGTTTATAACCTGATAATTTATAACCACTGCAGAAAAGCTACGGTTAGTCAAATGGGCATCGATATAAACTCTGTTAACTGCTTTAGTCTATAATAAGCATGATTTTTCATTTCAAAATGAAAATAACTTATATTCCTATACTTATATGATAAAAAGTTGATTACTACGTGCTTATATAAAAAACTTTTATTCCTACCACCTGGACACTTAAAATGTTAAGAGTATATATTTCCAGACATTTTACATTAAAAAAGTAATACAGCCCAACTGGCATGGCTCAGTGGTTGAGTGTCGACTTACAAATTAGGAGGTCAAGGCCTGATTCCCAGTCAGGGCACATGCCTGGGTTGCAGGCTCAACCCCCAGTAGGGGGCATGCAGGAGGCAGCCAATCAATGATTCTCTCTCATCGTTGATGTTTCTATCTCTCTCTCTCCCTTTCCCTTCCTCTGCAAAATCAATAAAAATATATTTAAAAAAAAACTGTATCACTAAAGTTCTGTATAGTTAGAAAAAAAAGTAATACATATGGGGGAATAAATGGTGATGGGGAAAAAGGGGGGGGGAGAATTAAAAGTAATACACATTCTTTCCCCCCAAATTCAAACCTGACAAATATGTAAAAAGTACAAAATAAAAATACCCCTTCTTACCTCTGCCCTTTCAGAGAGCAGAACTCTGAGATGGCCCCCAAGATTTCCTGTCTTGGTGTATAGGCCTCCATAATCCCTGAGACTGTGACTATGATGGACTTTACTCACATGGTTGGGTTATTACACAGTACAATCAACCTTGGCATAGGAAATTATCTGAGTGGCCTTGATCTAATCACATGCAGGTGATTAGATCCCCTAAAATCAAAGAGGGTTTTTTTCTGGATGGTGACAGAAGAGGAAGCGAGAGGTTTGAAGTGTGAGGAGATTAGGCACACTCGAAGATGGAAGGAAATTCCAAGAGTCTTAGGAATTCTGTGTCAGACCCTGGGAGAAATGTCAAATGTGTATTTCTTATTATAAATCACAGCATCACAGCAGCCTGAATGGGCTGGGAAGTGGCTTCTTCCCCATCGCCCTCCGAGGAGAACGCAGCCTGGCTGACAACCTGATTTCAGCCTGTGTTCACGGAGCAGAGGACCAGGCACCCTGGGCCAGACTCCTAACCTACAGAGACTGTGACATAATCGTGTTAGTTTGAAGTCGCTGAGTTTGTGGTAGTTTGTTACACAGCAATAGAAAACGAATAAAAACCCAGTCCTACTTCTGAGGAGGTAATTACTTTACACACTTTGAGATTATTTGAAAATATCCCTTTCCAGATATTTTAATTCATAGATAAGTATATATTTAAATGAGGTCATTGCTACTATTTGCATCATGTTTTCTTCATTTAATATACTGCCAGCATCTTTCCATGTAGCCCTTGGGTATGTTTTATAAAACAGATTCCTAGAATCTTTGTCAAGGTGTATGCCACTTAAAATTTTGGAAGAGACTGTCAAATTGCCTTAAAAGAAAAAAAGACTACATTGATTCCCAGTCCCACCAAAAGTATAATGAGTCCCTAACTTCCCTACATTCCCTCCTTTACTGGATATTCTCACTCTTAGTAATGTTCCCTGCCCACTGGTAATTTTTTATAGCCAACGAACTTATAGAGTCGAGTAAAAACTAACCGCTATAGTCTGTTTTTGTTCATTAATCATTA